TGATGGACTACTGTGTCTCCAGCAGCTTTGATTGACTTCTTGGCTTCTTTGCTCCATCCATTTGCTCTCAGCCCAGGACTGGTCAGGCAAAATCGTTTTAGATCAATGAGAATTAGCACAGGTGACCTTTGGCACAATTGCAAAAACTGCAAAGTTTCTAATAGTAGCCCTTGCTTTTCTTTCAGTGCATATTTAATACTTCCTAGGGCAGACTCCTCTAGGGCCCAGGTGCTTCCATTGTGTCTTGTTCCCACATCTCCTCTCAAACTGGGAAGGAATAACACTGCTCATTTGCACTGCATTGTAAGTTTCTATTTCCTCTCCTTGCAGGGAATGCATTTTTATATTATGTTTCTAAGTGGGGGAATTAAAGGTTTGGTCCCCTGTGAAAACATTGCAGGTGTCAGAAAGGCAGGGTGTGGTGTCAGGAGAACTTGTGTTTCTGAATCAGATCAGGAAGGTGGCTGCCTTCTTGGCCTTTTCCTCACATGGACACTGGCTGAGTCAGTGAAAGAGTCTCACTAGAGACCAGTTTGCTTCTCTTTTCTTTCCTCTACTCCAGAGCCCAGAGTGCAGTCCCAACTCAGCAATCCTAGCAGGTGTAAGGATCCTAATCACAGGCAAGAGAAAGTACGGGAGGCCAGTCTACACCTGTCACTGAGAAGAAAGACGGCACTGTCACAATCCCATTCCAATGGCTCTCAAAAGCCAAAAGTTGGGCTAGTCCAACAACAATGATTCTTTCACTTTTGTCTGTTAATTTATTTTTAAATTAACTTTGTTGAGATATAACTTATATACTGTAAAACACACACATTTCAAATATAAAGTTAAATGTGTTACAAAATGCATTGAGTTACAAAACTCATTGAACTCTATATTTGTTCAACATGAATGAGATGTTCCACAGACAGAACGTCTGCATCACTCCCGGAAACTTCCTTTGTGATTCATTGCAGACAGTTCTTCCTCAGCCTCACCCTGGGTCACCACAACTCTGTTTTTCTGACACTATAAATGAGTTTTGCTTGTTCTGTAATCCCAGATCAGCGGAATCATAATGTACGTCCTCTCAGGTCTAGCTTCTTTCCCTCAGCATGATGGATTTTGAGATTCATCCATGTTGTGCCTTCTTTCTTTTTATTGCTGAGTAATAGTCCATCTCACGGATATAACACAATTTATTCACCTGCTGATGGTCATTTGTGTTGTTGATTTTCTTTTTAATTTTTTAAACAAATCAGAAGTTCTTGGGCTTCATTAAATACGAGGATCTGATATAGGCCTAGTCACACTGGGGGACTATTACCATCATGCATAACTGGCTGGAAAAATAAAGGAAATAGATAGAATTTTTTAACATGTGTCCCTATACATTTTCTTTATCCCAACCTCCCTTTCCCATTGTCTCTGCTGATGGACTCAGGCAGATGACAGAACAGATGCATGATAGGAACTCTGAAACAGCCACAAAAGTTCAGTTCACCTAGTTGCTGTGGGTTAGTTCATTTCAGACACTTGGGTTTGTGTCCATGATTTTTCTATCAGGCATTAATTAATCTGGTTATCACAGTTTTAAGCTGGAATATTGCTCAGGGGTTCTTTGTGGTGATCTGCCAGGCATCCCACTAACCAAATTAATTTGGAACCCGCTAGTTGATAGAAAATCAAGCTCAATGGAGGCCACCAAGAGTGGCCACACCTGCCTGGGACACCAGTCCCTGCCTCCTGTCTAATAAAGCACTGTGAGCCACTTAACTGTCACTTCAGATAACACCAGAACCTGATATCACTACACTGGGCCTCTCTGAATACATAAACACTCCAATCCAATTATGTGCTCTCTGCTAAAAAACATAAAGCCAGACTCTACATTTCTTGAAGAGCCTGCTCCCCAAATGCAAGTCAACCACTTCATTTGCTGAGGAGATGGTTAGATACGGGTTCCTGGAGATAAAAGTGTCTCAGTAGGACTCAAGAAAAGGCTGTACCGTACTTACTAAATTGTGTGTTTTGTACCTATGGAAGGTTTGAAGGATTGTTAAGGGTAACACGGACAACGCTGGAGTCTCACATTGTGTGCTGACTTGATGTAAGGTGCTATGCTACATAAAGCCCTTTGGTTTACAAATGTGCTGACACTTTCTTCACTCTATGAGCAGACAGAGCACCTCTTGCTATCCCATGTTGTAATGGGGGTGATGAAGCCGAGCTAATGCGAGGGCCAAGCCTAGGGTGAGTATGAGGAGAGTCATTGCAAGTGCAGGAGAGGGTGGAACCCTGTCCTTATTTAAAACATTGATATTTTGTTCATTATACAATTTTTGCATTAACTTTGGTTATTAAAAATATCGTATTAAAATATTGTTAATATTTACCTTGCTTACTGACTCTTTTGTGCTCAAGCTAGTGACTAACTTGCCTCATCATGGTCCTGGCCCAGAGTCTCAGGCCCTGCACAGTGAATGGATTAGCTAGAATCTATCCATTGTGTATAAAAAAGACACTACTACAAGTAATTTCATATGGTTCAAGCTAATGGATTCTCCTAGGCTGGAGTAGGGAGGGCTCTCACAGATCTCTGGTGCTGTCTGTGAAAGCTTCATTATTCCGCTCAGGGTCCCTGGCCTGCTGCACATTGGAACCATCCCTGGGACATTCATTAAAACCAGAACTTCAAGGTACAGGTGGGGAACTTCTGTGTGGGTTTTCAAAAAGCCTAGTGTGAAATTCTTGGTTACAGTCCCTGGATTGAACTAGAATTAAGCCAAGCTACCCTGGCAGAGGGTTCTGGATTTGAATTCTGATGCCAGCACTTTCTAACCATTCAATCTGAGGCAAGTTACATGTTATTGTGGGTAGTGAGTAAGGCAAGTAAATGTCTAGCACAGTGTTTGTTGTACCATTAAATCCTGGATAAGAGTTAATGCTTCTGTGAGCCATTACTTTGTGCAGAGGTTCAGAGAAGTTAAGTAAGTTGACTCAGGTCATACAGCAAGTTAATTAAAGAGTTGAGTTTGAGACACACATCTGTCTGGCCTCATGGCCAGAGCTAAAACATCGACCCTTGACATCCACTAAGTGGTCCCTCCAAGAACAGGGGCCCTCCACAGTTAGCCCACAGCATTTTCCAATAAGCCCCCTCCCCAGCCCCAAGAGGATGAGAACAGAGCTGATCAGGCAGAGCTAGAGTCAGGGCAGGGAGACTCTGCCAGCCCAAGCAAGAGTTCCTTTGCCTGGGGGATTTCTCTTCTGGAATGTGGGGGTGAGGGAGGGATGCCCCTGCTGCTTTGATCATCTGGCCCTGCCCACCCCCAAACTTCTGGCTGGAGCTGGCAGCCCCTTGTACTTCCTCTTTTCCAGTTTTCTCTTTTAACCTATTCTGTGCTGGCTTTTGCTCTTAGTCCTCTGCTAAAAGCAGTCACTTCCTGAATATTGAAGTTGTGGGCTCCACCAGGGACCTCTGCCTTGCAAGACACTGCAAGGAACTCCCTTCTCTGAGTTTCATTCCCTTTTCACTTTCTGCCATGCCACAGGCTGAAGAAAGTGACCTAGGCTGGCTGGTCTCAGGCCTCATCTTCTGCCACCTCCCCTCCTCAGCTCTTAACGTTCCAAATAGACCATGTGTCTGTGGGTCTCCTGCCCCAAGCTGTCCCACCTTTGTAAGGCTAAACCCCTGTTCTTCCTGCCTGGAGGGCCCCTTTCTTACTTTGATCCACATCAACCCCAATCATCCCTTTAAACCCAGCTCTGGCATCTCCTTGATTCCGATAATAAAGCTCCCATGGTATTCCATCCCCCGCCTCCAGACCGATTCTGTCCTCTCAGGTATATTAGCCATTGCTGCACCTCACAGCAGTTGTCTGGAATTTAGCTGTATCCACATCCATCTTGTGCACTAGACAATGGCTATTTCTTCATCTCCCTGGCAGCCAGGAGATCCACAATACCTCTAGTGATGACAACAACATGACTGTAGCATTTATTACACACCAAGTGCGTCCTAGCCACCTTACATACTTCTGTTTGTTCAATACAATTACTAAAATCTTCCTTATCTTACAAATAGGAAAGTGAACTGCTCGAAGCTTTAATGACTTGCCCATGGCCACACAGCTCCTATGTGGAAGAGGTGGAATTTGAAGCCAGATCTTCTAGTTCTTAGTGTCTGTGCCTTAACCATGCCATTCAGTACCCCTGGTAGGGAAGGGGGACATGAAGGAGCGAGGGAAGAGGCTCCTACTCTCAGGCAGCTGGATCCCTCCAGGGCTGGAGCAAGCCTACATGTGCACACACACACACACACACAGATACAGAACCGTGGGAAAACTGCAAGGGAACATACCAATAAGTGCTAAGCTAGGTGCTATACAGCAGTGCTTTTCAAATTTTAATGTGTATGTAAATCACCTGAGGATCTAGTTAAACTATAGATTTGGATCCAATCTGACATAGTGGGACTTGAGATGGCAATTCCAACAAGTTCCCAGTTGCTGCTGGTCCTGGGACCACACTTAGAGTAGTAAGGATGAGCTCGGGGCAAAAGGAGGTGGGAGAGGGAGATTTCAGGGGGCTGGAAAGATTCTGGAACAGCGGGCTGGGTCTCGGACAATAGCAAGGCTTAGATAGGTAAAGTGGGGGAGAGAAAAGCCCACCCCAGAATCATCCTGCTCTTGGCTCTCAGGGGCCTGAGAGCAAGGGGGTGGTTTTAGGGGCCCATACATGTGTCCCCAAACTGCCTTGACCCCCCTTAACAAACAGCTGTGCGAAGCATGAGCTCCACCTGTGAATTCCACATGAGAAGTGTCCAATCCTGATGTGCCAGGAAACATTTTGCAAATTCAGAAATCACAGCCAAAGGGAAGTGCTGTGAGGTCTACAACTCGCTATAGTGGTTCAGTGGGAAGGATCATTCCCCAAGTGGTTCCTCCTGAGGAGCGTTTCTGCTGACTCGAGGACTTTGGCAGTCTATAAAGCTTAGCAATGGAAAGTAAGGAAATTCTCAAAGAGGAAGAGTTCTTGGATATCACCCAAGAAGCAGCAGCTTTTGAACAAAGTTCAATGGAGGTCTTCGAAATCAATGGTAAAGTATTATTCCCCCAAATAATAGAATTGCCCAGGGATGTATGTTTCTGTTCGTGGTATATGAGAATAGAAAACTTGGTAGAAAGTCTAGGTTTGCACTATTGCTGCTTTTTCCACCTAACCCTTACTACTTTGTGCCTGAAACGCTTCGATTTGGAATTTCTAGAATGTTAAAAATAGATACTGTATTGTTAGCTTATCATTAGCTCCACAATTCCTATAAATAATATTTAAATATTTTCCCTTGGATAAATGCCAATGTTTATTAAATGCTCCCCTTTTTAAAAAATAAGTATCTTATTCTGACAGACAGGCTGTGTGATGAAAGGACAATATAAAACAGAGGCATTGAAAAAGTGCTATAAAACCGAAACCAAGCGCCACATACTTTTCTAATGCAACTTTTTAAAAATTCTTTAAGGGAATTCTGTTGTAACTGATGTGCTGAACAGGAAACACTTTCTTCATTTCATATTGGTTAGGATGTTTTTGGTTTGTCTTAGATTAAACTCAGGTTTTTAAAATTCAGTCAACTCTGTCCTCTTTATTTTTGCACTCAGTGTTACACAAGTGATGCATTTTTAAAATCTTCTAGAATCTGTAGGAAAGTCATGGGTATATTTGTCTTCCATGGGCAATCTTTGTTTTTGTTTTTGATACAGGGTCTCTCTCTGCCACTCTGGTTAGAGCGCAGTAGCATCATCATAGCTCATAGCACCCTCAAACTCTTGGGCTCAAGTGATACTATTGCCTCAACCTCCCAAGTATTTTGTACTACAGACACCCATCACTGCACCCACCTAATTTTATCTATTTTTATTTTTTTTTATAGAAACAGGGTCTGACTCTTGCTCAGGCTGGTCTTGAACTCCTGAGCTCTAATGATCCTCCCGTGCTAGGATTACAGGAGTGAGCCACCACACCAGGCCTTCAACAGGCAATCTTTTATTCCTTACTTTAGAACATTCTCTTGGAATCATCTTACAAGATGAGTCGTCATTCCCATCCCTACATTTTTCTGGAAGTTGTCTATGCAGGAACAATGGTATCTCTGTCCCCTGCACTGAGTGTCCCTCTCCTCCAGCACCTGTTCATGCAGGTCCCTAGCTGGAACGTATGGGGGTACAAAGAAGTGTTGGGGCTCTGCCTCTGCCTCTGCCTCTACATTTACAGTGTAGTTACAGAGAGACACAAACATTTGCCTGGCTCCAGCCTTCCCCGCGCGTTTCTGCTGTGGCTGGTCTCTCAAGGAGGACTTCTATTACCTCTATTACCCTGGGAGCAAGCTCCTGTTAGTCTGTGGAACGTAATCTGTCTGGACCTCTTACCTCAATTTCTCTGTGGGTTCAGGCTTCACATCGTCCTTCATGACATTTTCCCCCCACTAATTTCAGTTCTGATAGAGGTGACCCAAACAAAACACAACTAGAGGAGTTAAGGGTTTGGATGTTCTTTGTTTCAAAATTGACATTAACCCTTGGCTCTCAGTCGTGAGCCTAACTATTCCATATTTTTGCTATAAGGTAATCTAAAGAGACTTTTAACAGACCTTAATCCATTCGTGTTCTGTCTTACTGATGTTATTGCCATCACATCATGTAGGCGTTCTGACTTTGTTCTTCATTATGCCAGAATTTCTCAGCATCTTTAAACATTTGGCTTTACTGTAGAGGATTGTTTGGCGTGCTGAATTTTTTTTTTAATAGATTCACAGAAAGTTGCAAAAAAATGTACAGGAAGGCCTTTTTGACCTTTACCCACTTGCCCCAGAGGTAGCATTTTACATAGTTAGTACAAAGCCACAGCCAGGAAACTGACCTTGGCGCTTACTTGTGATTTCCACCCACTCATTTGAGTTTATGACTATGTTCCTTGCTAAATAGCACCACATACCTTTCACCTGTCTGCCCAGCTAATGCCAAACAACCACTAAGAAGTTCCCTATGTCTATATTGTGCTCTTTCAGAAATGTTACACAGAGGAATTTCACAGTATGTAACTTTTTTCCACACTGTATAATTCCCTTGAGACCCATCCAAGTTATGTTTATCTGCAGTTGATTTTTCTTACTGTTGAATAGCATTTCATGATAAGAATATGCCACGGACTGTTTTTATCCATTCACCCATTGAAGGATATTTGTGTTGTTTTCTTTTCTTTTCTTTTAAACTAGCAGCACAAAACGTCTGATTTAATTTTTTTCTTACATTTTTTGAAGAAGATACTCCATCTGTAAATTCAAGTTCGGCTGACCCTTTTTGGTCTTTTTGCTTAATATTTTGAACACTTCCATTTTCTTCATTTTGTAGCGCCTTTGAGCTTCTTCTCTCTCCCGTTTTCTCCTCTCAAATTCTCGTTTCTTAGCAGCACACCTAGCTTGTCTGTGTTCATATTCTTCTTGTGCTTTTTGATTTGATGTTTTCTTTTTCTTTAGATTAAAGGACTTTACTGTTTCACTAGATTGTTTTTCCGGCTGAGTCTGGTCAAAACTACAGTGATCTTGAGACAAAGCCTGGTCAATGCTACACTGTTCTTCAGGCAAAGGCTGGTCAACTTGTTTTTCCGACAAAGGCTCGTTGACTTTTCTTTGTTGCTTCTTGAGTCTTTCCTCTTCGGCTAAATAAAGATGTTTCAGATGATCTGGGTATCGATCTTTGAATTGGGATTCCGGTGATGTTTCAGTCTGCTTTTGTCTCCATAACAATTTCTTGTAATTTTGCTGAATCTTCAGTTTTCTTCGAAAAGCAAAGCCTTGTCCCTCGCGAATGCTGCTCACGAAGGCTTGCGAATAGTTGGGTTGCCATATCCTCTGTTTTACGTTCTTATTCCTGAATCCCACCAAAGAATCCTCTTTGCCACATGTCCCCAAACCCCCTTTCCGCCGCCCCCCCCCCCACTGTGCGAGTCTAACAGGCGCTATTTCCACAAGCCAATTCCCTTGTGTTGTTTTCAGTTTGGGGGTAATTACACATAAAGCTGCTATGACCATTTTAGTAATAGTTTTTGTGTAAATTTTTGTTTCTCTGGGATAAATGCCTAAAGTACAGTTGCTGGATTCTAAGTGTGTGTTTGGTTTTACAAGAAGCAACTGATGAATTTTCTAGCAAGACTGTCCCATTTTACATTGCTGTCAGCAATGTGTAACCAACCCAGTTTCTCCACGCCTTGCCAGCATTTGGCGTTATCATTATTTGTACTTTTAGCCTTTCCCATAGGTGTGTAGTGCTGGCTAACTGTAGACTTAATTTGCATTTTCCTGATGACCAATGATGTTGAATACCTTTCCCTGTGATTATTTCCATTTGTATGCCCTCCTCAGTGAAAGCTCTTATCTTTTACCTATGGATTAATTGGATCATTTGGATTTTCACTTTTTTTTTTTTGGAAACAAGACTCTCACTCTGTCACCTGGGTAGAGTGCCGTCGCATCACAGCTTACAGCAACTCTTGGGCTCAAGTGCTCCTCTTGCCTCAGCCTTCCGAGTAACTGGGACTATAGTTGCCCACCCCAGAGTCCAGTTAGTTTTTAGTAGAGGCAGAATCTTGTTCCTGCTCAGGCTGGTCTCAAACTCCTGAGTTCATACAATCCCTTTGCTTCGGCCTCCCACAGTGCTAGGATTATAGCCGTGAGCCACTGCACCAAGCCAAGAGTTCTATATATATTCTAGATACAAGTCCTTTATCAGACAGGTGGTTTGCAAATATTTTCTCCTGGTCTATAAATTTTGTCTTTATACTGATAACAGGGTTTTTTGCAGAGCACAAGTTTTTAATTCTTATGAGGTCCAACTTAATTTTTCCTTTCAAAGATTATGCTTTGGTGTTAAGTCTATGAACTCTTCACTTAGCCCTAAGTACTGAAAACTTTCTATGTCTTATTATAAAATTTTTTATAGCTTTACATTTTCCTATTAAGTCCATGATCCATTTTAAATTTATTTTTGTGTAAAGCATAAGCTATAGGCCAGTGTTTCTGTTTTGTTTGTTGCCCCCTTGCTCATATACTATTTGTTGAAAGGTATAGTCTTAATTTCAGCAATCAGTTGGGCAAATTAGTGCGGATCTATTTTCTGTGTTCTTTTCTTTTTATTTCAAAATATTAAGGGTGTGCAAATGTTTTAGATTACACAGAACCTTTTTGTAATGCTTGAGTCACAGCTATTGGTGTACCTGTCACCCAAATAGTGTTCATAGTACCTATTAAGTTGGTTTATTTCCCTCTCCTTCCTCTCCACCCCTGCCCCCCCATTGATTTCCACTGAGTTGTACTTTTCTCCGTGCACATGTGTGCTCATCACTTAGTTCCAATTTAATATTGAATACATGTGGTGTTTGTCCATTCTTGAGCTACTTCACTCAGGACAATGGTCTGCAAAAGGTATTAGTTCATCTTTTTTATGGCTGTATAGTACTCCATGCTGTACATATACCACATTTTATTAATCTACTCATGAATAGATGGGCACCTGAGTTGATTCCACATCTTTGCAACTGTGAATTGTGCTGCAATAAACATTCCAGTGCAGGTGTCTCTTTGATGAATAAAACTTCTTTTTTTTTGGATTGATACTCAGGAGTAGGATTGATGGATTGAATTGTAGTCCTACTTTTAGTTCTTAAAGGACTCTCCATCTTGTTTTCCATAAAGGTTGTACTAGTTTGCAATCTTACCAACACTTTATGTGTCCCTTTCTCTGTGGGTCCATGCCAGCATCTATTGCTTTTGGACATTTTAATAAAAGCCATTGTAACCAGGGTAAGATGATATCTCATTGTGGTTTTAATTTGCATTTCCCTGATGATTAGTGATATTGAGTATTTTTTATTTTTATTAGCCAATTGTCTTTCTTTCTTTTTCTTTTTTTTTAGACAGAGTCTCAAGCTGTCCCCTTGGGTAGAGTGTCATATCATCATAGCTCACAGCACCTCCAACTCTTGGGCTCAAGCGATCCTCTTGCCTCAGTTTTTTCTATTTTTAGTAGAGACAGGGTTTTGCTT